TGCCGGCCTGATCGCCCCTATCCACCTCTGCCTTGGCCCCCGCCACCATGGCTTTGTCCGGAAGGAAGGCAAGACGACCGGAAGATGTCTGGTCAACCCAGTCTAATTAGCATATTACCCTTTTATTAGTTTAGATGATTCTGGCTGAGAGGACCCAGACTCAACCAGCCCTCTTCTGGGCAGATGGTTTATTTATTCATACAATTCTTTCCCAAGGAGTGAAGCTGCACCTTGGAGTTCTTTATAGAGGGAGTGGCCTCTAAACTGTTGAACTGACATCTGGTGAAAATGAGCAGATGGAAGGAACAAGCCACAACTGAGTGTCACTTTGGGCTGCCCACCTTTGTGTGGCTAGAGAAGCAGGTTGATGATTGCTTAGGTTGACCAAATGGAAGAGGTTGAGAGATCATGAGGCAGAGGGGTGAGGGGCAGAGTCAACAAGCCAAGTGGAATCCCTCCAAGTCTTCTAGGTTCTCATAATTTGGCTCCATCTTGGGCTCAAGACTGCCCCGGCGACTAACTAGTCTGAAAGAGGGGCCCAGACAAATGGTCTTGCTAAGAACTACCCAACAAGCAAAAACTGCTCTTGTAGGGCGAAGGAAAAAGTGGAACCGTTAATAGCCTCTTGAACCCGAAACCCAGTCCTTAGCCAGAGTAATCAATTATCTGTTACACAAAAGAGTGTCTGGCAGTAGTGTGGGCAGTGGAACCAAAAATTTGTTCTGTTGACAGACCAGCTGTAGATGCAGACCATGACGAGTTCCAACCACAAAGGTCATCAATGGATGAATAAGAGGACAGAAGCAGAGGCCATACTGTTTGAGAACTAGTGACTCAGGACTGTGATTCCGGAACATATCCTTCTCCCCCTTGTTCCACCACAGACCTTCCCAAGAAAAAGATGGGAAGGGAAAGGGAGTAAGGATGATCTTTAATCTCTATCTGCCTCTCATCTCTTCTCAACCACATGTGCTAAAGTATGCAATCTCTTTGGTGAAATTATATACAACAACAACAACAACAAAATCTCTTTGTCTCCTTTAGAAAAGAGAAATGGCTCTTCAATTTATTATAAGAGGAGTTAAAAATCAGTAAGATCAAAAGGCATGTGGGCTAGAGGTAGAGGCTGGAGAGAGGAAGAAACAGGGGGAGGAGAGAAGGACAATATGACTTGAGTGTCAAAGCAAGAGTCTTCGTGGGAAGGGAGGCTTTTCAACCTGAAAGGAGAAAGAGAACTCTGGCTTTTTGGAGTTTTAGATCAAGACTATAATCACAGAGATATGTCCAGATCAAAAGGGTTCAGGAAGACCTGCCTCCCAACCAAGCAAAGCAGAACTGAGCCCACCCCCAGCATGAATCTTGACTACCACCGCTTGAGGGCTGACCCCTTGAGCGTGCTTCAGTGTACTTGCAAGGAGAAAAAGATGATCTTTTCAGAAGTTACTCTGGTGTGCAGTCTCGACATTGGGTGGGAGAAGGGGGATGGGGACAAACAATGCTTCCAAGCCACGATCTAAACTGATTTTAAATGACTTATCTCCTGGGCTTCCTTAATGTAAGCCAAACCCTTTCAGTTATTTCATGACTGTACTTTCAATTGCATTGTACTTTTAACCTTATTTTCCTAAGAATAAACTTTATGCAACATTGCCCGAAAGGCACAGGGATTTTCTTCCCTTTCTCCACACCACAGTTAAGTCATCATGTAAGTATTTGTTAAAATTCAGGAAACTTGTAGCTCTTGATCATGTTCTACTGACAGTCTGGAGCAAGCTGACTCCCTAGACCATGAGTCTTGCTCATGACAAGAACTGGTTGTCTTCTTGTCCGGAATGTTCTCCCTTCCCCAATGTTCCCCCTCTGCCCTGGCTATCCCTTAAGGCCCAGCCCCACACTCCAGAGCTGAGCAGCAAGAGCTCTGATCTCCCACCCAGACACTTCAGCTCCCACCATCTGTGCCACTAACACTGCATGTACTTTCTGCCTTTTTTGGTAGTGGTTTGTGCCCGTGCCTGACTACAATTTAAGACTGGTAGCTTCTGGCAGCTGCAGACTGTTACACACTTTCCTTAGTGCTTATCCACCATGGTGCCCTGCTTCTGAGAAGTGCAGACGGTATGTTAACTGAGTGCACTGGCCTCTCCCCTAAGTGACAGACACCTCTGCAATGGAGCTAATATTCTCTCTCTTGTCTTTCAAATTCTCCAGTGTTCCAAGAAATACATCTCTTCCTTCCCTGAAGAAAGTACAGTTATTTTGTGTATCCAGTTTTGTGTGGAGAAATACTTTTAAACTATGCAAATATCTTGTTTCTTATCACAGTTTTGCACCAAAATTTTAGAATTCATCAATGGTTCTTGCCTATAATAATTTATTACTGGGGTTTCCTAATGGTGATTTCCTATTTCCCTCATTCCTTTTACACTTATTAATTGAAATTCTTTTAAAAATAAGAGCTGTACCTTACCCCCTCCCACTGATATATTTATTCAATTATTCATATCAGTATGAACTCATAAATATTTATTTTATCCTATAGATCATAACCCAATACTATGATTACTTATTTTGTTGTTTAAGCTTCACTTTCTTTATCTGTGAGTTAGGGACAATGACAACCGCCTTACAAAACTGTCCTTAGGATTAAATGGGATTTAAAAATGTGAAAATATCTAGTCCAGAGCACCTAGTAAATAAATGCTAGTTCCTTTCCTTCCTCTTCTTTACAGAAAGTAAAACCATGCTAATTTGGAGGCAAAACCATTCTAAATAGGTGAAAGTCTGAACTTAAGAATTCCCTTTAATGTAATGCAGCTTTTCCACCCTAAGGTATATAAACAAGAATTTAGCTATCCCAGTTTGCCTAGCAGAGGTCATTTGGGATCTGCCTATAATGACTATATAAGATTGATTTTTAATCTGCATGCCAATAATTTGTATGAAAATAGATGCTTGAGAATACTTGAAAACAGACTGTTCTCTTAAGTAGATTAAGTGTTTTCCCAGAAATCTTGTTTATGTTCTGAAGTTGCTTAGCTAAACTATTTTCAGAGATAGTCCAAAGCGTGCCTCAACCCAGCTGTGGTTCCGATGATCACTAACTCTGAATTAATGATATCACTGATTCATCTTGGATTCCTAAGGTTATAGCAGCGAATGGAAGAAATTCAAGTTTTCTTTCTCCAAAATTAATTTAAAATTAGATTTTAAAAGTTTGGGCAAATCACTTTTAAGTTCAGGTGGGATTTAAAACAATAACAACAACAAAGGATAAGGACGAGGTCCCACATTAAATGAGAGTGACTAGATCTGGAAGTTTAAAATAATTCACAAAATACAGTAAAATCCCATATGAAATCACACAGTTTACTGGAACTTTCATTTCCCACCCAGCTTTATTGATAAGGAGAATCAAGATCGTCAGGAGATTTATTTTAAAAAAACAGCGTTGGGGCAGTGTGATTTATAAGCTCTCATGCGGACACCCAGAGAGTCTGTTTTACTCAATGTGGGGTGGGGCCAGGAACCTGCATTTTTATCAGGTGCCACTCCACAATATGAGTCTTGATACAGGTGGGAGGCAGAATACCACAGCGGTTCAAAGCCCAGGCTCTGGGACCTGGCAGCGTGGGTTTGAATCTCACTATTGCCACCTACTACCTATATAACCTTGGGCAAATGATTTCATCTCCTTGTGCCTCAGTTTCCCCACTGGTAGTGTAGGGCTAATGACAGTATCTGCTTCCCAGGGTTGTGAGGAGCAAATCAATGGTATATGTAGCTGATTAGCAGGGCAGTGTTAGATGGAGATCAGCAATTCCCAAGGGTCATGGATCTCCCATTGAGGAACATATCTGGGCACAGAACTAACTGCTTGAGCTGAGCCCTTAACATGTCTACATCCACTGTGCCTCCCCATGGTCACTGACACTTATATCCATCATCTGGGTCATGATTGGCAGGCTATGGAGACTGTGAGGTGAGCTGCTATCATCAGAAAGTGTTTAACTAACAAAGGTGGATTGATCCACTGTCAATCAGAGATATACAGGACTGGAATGGGAGTATAATTTTTGCATTTACTACTATAATTGTGGAGTTAAACCAACCACCAACAACTACAGAAACTGAAAGTTGTGTTTAATCTTCAAGGCAAAAGAAATAAAGTCTAAAAGACAGCAACTGTAGAACAGAAAACTTTGAGTGTGTGGTCATACTATGGAGGAAAAGTGTTCTTTAAGCCCAACAGCACAGCATCCCTGACCCTTGCCCTGCATGGAAACCTGCCTCTCCTCCTTCCTATCCCTTGTCCTTGCTCCAGGGTCACAGCATGTCAGCCAGTTGGACCTCCTCCTCCTAGTTGCCACTAGACCTGCCTCCCTCCCAAGTGTTCCCAGACTCTGGTTACAGCTTCCTCCTCAGAACTGGCTGGTAAGGTCTCAGAGGCCTTGGAGGGACTTTCTGGGGGCTGGGGATGTTGATGGGATCAGAGGACAGGAGGGGGTGACTCACTGTCCCTCAAGACCACGTTCCTCCCCACTTTCCTGACCCAGGTGTTTGTGTTTAGTGTCTGCTGAGGAGGCCTGACAGTGGATCCTGTGGCCAGGGATCATGCTGACCAAACTCAAAATCGAAACATCTAATATTGAAAGCACATGAAGAAACCAGTGGGAGAATATTTGAAAATGGGCACAGGGAGAATATTTTGGAAGGGAGTGGAATAAAGTTGGGGATTGGTTTCCCAAAGGGAGAAGGCTTGTGGACTTGGTAATGATATGAGATGGAGATAGCATCACTTAGGCTTCGGTCAGTTAGAGTGAAGTGAGAGGGAGGATGACAATGTGTTGTTTATCTCAGTGCCTGGAAAGAAAGCAGTCATCATGGAAGCGGTAAGACAGACAGGTAGATGAGATGTCAGTAACAGACAAACCAAGAAGGAGAAATGCTTAAAAACCACTTACTAGCAATTCTTACAAAAACATCTGAAAGTGGCTCCTTACCTCATTAAATCTCATCACAAGATCTTCAAGGGCATTGTGCTCTCTGTTCTGGGAGTTAAGAATTGATGCTGAGATGGATGCTTTGAGGCAGGGCAGGGACCTCTGACATTCTGGAGTGCTCAAGTTCTGAGTCAAGAAGCAAAGATAGTCAACCGGCAAGACCCTTCGGTAGATATTCTGTTCCTGCTCCATCAGGATGCTGGCGACTTCCTCGGGGAACTGGATGAGGGGCTGCAGATCAATCAGCTCCTTGCTGATCCCAGCTGAACTTGAAGGGAGGGCACTGGAATTGGCCATAGAGGTGCCCGGTTGGCGTTCTGGAATAAAGCCACAGAGGTCATGGTCACACCAAGGTTGGTTTTCCTTACAACCGATATCTACTTGAGAGCCATTCATAGTCATGTAGGTTTCTTAAAGTTTCTGCAGTTCTATACTATCTTTCTTGTTATAGAGACCTGATATCTGCCCTGCTGCTTCCCCTGTCCCCCTCCTTGGGGTTATGGGTAGGAGTAGTTTCCCATTTTCAGAAGTAAAATTGATTTGGCACACCATTCCCTAACCAGTTCACTATCACACTTGCAGAATAGCAGGGAAAATGTACCGTTTGATTATTCATCCTGCAGTGCTAACCATCAGAGTGAAAAGAAACAAGGGTGGGTGTGGGCACAGCAACTGAAATGAAATGAAAGAAGGCTGTGGGGGAAGAGGCATGTACATGTATGTGCACATATGTGTAAACATGCAGGAGAACTGGGGACTCTGTACTCAAGGTTTCAAAACTTCATGGTCTACTCTGCAAACATCTCACCCTCAAAACCCGGATTCCACCGAAATCCATTTGGGGATTTGCGGGGATAGACCACCTACCAAAGTAAGAAAGGAACAGGAAGAAAGGACACATATCTAAATAAATAAATCTTCCCTGCCCCACAACTGGTAGTAAGAAGATGGCATGGGAGAGGAAGTGGGGGGGGGCATTATATCAAAGCATTTAATGCATTTGTAGACTCAATATTATTCCCTTAGCACAAATTCACTTTATTTTGACCACTCCCCTCCCCTCCAATCTGTCTCTTAATTTCCTACCTATGTCATTTATTTATTCATCTACTTAACCAATCATCCATCAATTCATTCAAAAAACTGAAAATCTGAATCCTAGAACAGAATTTCCCAAAGTATGATCCGTTTTGTGGCCACTAAGTTGGGGAAAAGTCACATATTCTTGTCACAAATTCTATTCCTGGAAATAAATGGGGCACATGGGTACACCATTAGAGCTTCAAAGGGGTCTGCCAGTAAAGGAATCCATTTATATTGCTTAACCGAGTATTTCTCCAGAGCCATACTTTTATATGCTACTTACTGTGCCATTCTGTGTGACTAGTGCTGGCTGGAACCACTTCAGGAAATGCTGCCCTGAGGGCCAAACTGTTCTTGCTCTCCGCCAGTTCACATCTTTTCCTTCCTGGCAGTCCCTCCCTGGCCAGCCCTCCTTCATGCTTCTCATGGTGCTTCATGAGGGGACCATGTTTGGTTTTCCCAAGATCTTTCTTACATTCTTGATTTCTTAAACACCCTTACTGACCCTTTGACAGAATAAAACTCATCTGTCTTCTGATGACAATGTATTTGTTGGCACAGACTGACATCGGGCCTGGACACTAAACAACAGCAAAGCTAATGTAAAGGTGAAGGAATTAAGCAAAAACAAAAATTAACTTGTAGACACAGACAACAGTATGGTAATTACCAGAGGGAAAGAGGGGTGTGGGGAAGTAGAAGAGGTTAAAGGGAGTATACATGGTGATGGAAGAAGACTTGACTTGGGGTGGTGAACATACAATACAATATACAGATAATTTGTTATAGAATTGTACACCTGAAACCTATGTAATTTTATTAACCAATATAACTCCAATAAATTCAATTAAAAAACACTTCTTCAACATCCAGACTTCAATATCCTTGATTCTTTTATCTCTATTGCAGGAAACTTTGGATCATCACTCCGAAGTGCTCTGTCTCTGTATTGCTGAGTTCTGAAGTCATCACCCCTGAACTGACCTCCATTTCCCTTCCACCTTTTCTACTAAACTTTCGCTGCCTCAGCCGACTTCCAGCTGCTTGGCCTTGGTCTGGTTTCATGGTCAGCATTTTAACATGGCACCCACCAACTCCCAGGATTCCCTCACAGGTCACCTTGACTTTCCATCAAATGCACTTCCCAAACCTCAATCCTGGGCAAACTCAGCCAACTATACTTGGCTTCTGGGAGGCTAAATGATGATAAATGTCAATGACAATCCCTTAGGATGGGACCCTTGCTGAACTGTGTTACCATACTGTAGCCAGGCCCTCAAGGCAGCTTCGAACGTGACATAAATTTATTTATTTTTCCCTAAATAACTCAACAAGGCCCACCTCAGTTTGTGATAAAGTCTATTGAACTTGCCTCAGTGGTTATCTCCACCTCCAGTCCCTTTCTTTCCACTGACTCTCATTTGCCCACACAAATGTTCCATTTCCCTTATTCTTAAAAAGAAACCAATAAACTTCCCTTGTCCCTTAAACTCCAAATCACCTCTAGCCTCCACTTTATTATGGACCTTCTCTAAAGGGTAATCTACATTCCTGATTCCTTCCTCTGTAAATATGGTGACCACATCTTCTGATTCAAAACTCAGGTCAGTCTGTTCAAAGGAACAGGCTAGTGAGGATGCAGGAGAGAAAAAATAGATACCAGGTCTGTCTTGGGAGTTCCTAGGTCTTAAAAAAAAATAAAATATTTTATTGTTTTTTTACAGAGAGGAAGGGAGAGGGATAGAGAGCCAGAAACATCGATGAGAGAGAAACATCAGCTGCCTCCTGCACACTCCCCACTGGGGATGTGCCCACAACCAAGGTACATGCCCTCGACCAGAACCGAACCTGGGACCCTTGAGTCCGCAGGCTGACGCTCTATCCACTGAGCCAAACCAGTTAGGGCAGGAGTTCCTAGGTCTTAGATCACTGTGTTGACAGGGCATTTCTGCTGATAGTCTGGGCTCTGATGTTCCCCCTTCAACTCTCCTAAGCAGTCCACCTCTTTTGAAACATAGCTCAGGAAAAGTTCTTGGTGGTATTTGCTATCTAATTAAGTGAAGTGCTCCCTTTTGGAGGAATGCTTCCAGCAGTGACCTAAACAAATTGTGAGGAGAAAGTCTGAGCTACAGTGCTCTCCTCTGATGCAAGCCTAAACTAGTTTTACATACAGGGTGGGGCAAAAGTAGGTTTACAGTTGTTCATATGGAAAATAATATAATAATTAGTAAATAATGATACAAGAATAAACTCTGTTTTGTATACTCACAACTATAAACCTACTTTTGCCCTACCCTGTAAATTCCGATCAGAACTTTCTGTTTTCTCTTTTGTATGAAAACTAAAGTATCCAAAGTATCATTTCCTTTTGATTCTAATAGGTGAATACGGAGTACAATGACTTAGTCTATCAATTTTTATCCATATTTTGGAAAAAGCTACCAAAAATTGACTGCATAAAAAAACGAAGACTACCAAATTTGGTTCACTGTAAGGTCATATTTGAAAATAATTAAAGATAAGGCAGGAACTCAAATCTATATAGCTTACATGTCCTCATTCTTCAACTTTCTGAAAAGTTTACAAAATGACTGGATTTCCTGAAAAACTGAGTCAGAATGTGGCCTGATGACAGAGGCAGTTTCTGGATACAAACAATTTATGGGCAAGAGAATTAGCCATATATAGGAAGTCTTCCCAGAAGTAACCAGCTTAAAGACACGATTTCAAAGTACAGCACTCTGTGAAGGAAATGAAAATAACTCCCAAATTTTATGAAACCAATTATTTAATATGTAAGAGAAGAGATAATGTAATGAAATATGTAAGTAATGTAAGATAAGATGATATATTATTAACTGCACTATATCTTGAGATATGAATCACATGCTGCTACAATGAATAAAGAATCTAGTAATTGGTGGGGAATAGCAATAAATGAGACCTAAAAAACTGAATAAATGAAGAAAAAGAAGCCCGCTCAGTGGGACCCTAACAAATGTAGTGTCCCCATGTGTCTCAGTATAAGAATGACATCACTCAAAGGAAACACAAATCTGATGTTTGAAACCTTGAAACATAATATAGACCTTTAGTGTACGTTTCCTTAAAGCAGGATTACTCAGGAATTTTTTTTATCATGACCACAAAGAAACATCCCAGAAATCTTCTTGGGACACAATTTTCTGCCCTCCAAGTTCCACACTTTAGCAGCTGTTAAAACAAACTAAAAAAGATATTAGCTTTGTGGTTATGACAGGCAGGAGTGGAGAGAGGAGGAATTGGAGGAAGGTGGTCAAAAGGTATACATTTCCAGTTATAAGATAAAAAGTACTAAGGATATAATGTACAACACAATGGCTATAGTTAACACTGCTGTATGGTACATATTAAAGTAGTTAACAGAGTAAATCCTCAGAGTTCTCATTACAAGGAAAATAATTTTTCTTTTTTTAAATTTTCTTTTCATTATATGTATCTACATGATGATGAGTGCTAACTGAACTTATTGTGATAATCATTTCATAATATATGTAAGTCAAATCATTATGCTGTACACCTTAAATTTCTACAGTGACATATGTCAATTACATCTCAATAAAACTGGAAAAATAGATTTCCCACCTTATCGCATTCTTGCTGACCTCTCCTTATAATTTCCTCCTTCCCCTTCACATGCCGTGTTACCCCAACTCTCAGCTGTAAGTCACATCACCCTTCCTCTCTGTAATATGGGCAACTCTACAATGGGTTAAAGGCCCAGTAGCTCTATGACCCTGGATCCTTCCTCTTTATTTGTGGAGCAAATTTCACAAAGCCCACTGAAAACTTTAGTTCTCTTACTGTGAAAATTTTTTTTAAAGTTTCTGTTGAATAAAATTATCTACCTCATTAATAGTCAATGTTTGCTCTCAGCTCCATGCTCTTTAGTTAATACTTACTCTACAGCAGAATAGGGCTATATCTCTAGACACTGTCATAACCTAGAAACATCTCTGATGAGACACAGTATTTTCAAGTTTTCATTCCCTGCTCAAATAATAGCTTCCTGAAATAGTGCTTTATATGGATTAATTCAGGGGGTAGGCAGTATCACTCATGGGAGGCTCACATAAGGTTCCATAAGTAGTAAGACAGGGAGCTAGGGTTTGAATCAGAGTCTATTTGACTCCAGAGCTCATGTTCTTGGTCATTCAGCATATTGCCTGTGCAGCAACAAAATGCCACATTGAAT